GGTGCACCCAGGAGTCAGGATTCCAGGGGAGACCCAGCAATCCCTGCCCAGGGCATGCATATTGAGGGTTGCCCTGAAGATCAGAGTGCATACAGGCTCAGAGAGAGAAGGCCCTGCCGTCCTTGTGCAGAACAGGGTCCTGGTCCCCTACTCTCCCCTGTCCAGGACACTGAATAGCTCTGGGCTCCTGTAAGAATGTGGCTGACCATCTGCTCTGGGCTCACACTTGACACGAGGGCACTAAGACCTATCATGACCTTTAGAGTTTCCTACTATGGCCCGAGGGGCATGCTAACTCTAGCAGAGTTTCAGAAATAGTGGGGTTTGGAAGACGGGCTCAGAGCTTAGGTGAACCAAAAGGACGAGGCTTCCCTGAGGAAGACAGCTGCGCTGATCTGGAGGTGTGCTCGGGCAAGGTCTGTGCTTGAGCAGGGGACAATCACGCCTTATGGCTTGTTGTCGCTGAACGAGGTGGTAGGTGGACAGGGACTGCACCTGGGTTCTGCAGGGCCCGATGGCGCTCAGCCTTCGTCAAGGGGGCACGACACAGGTTGGGTCACTATACTCAGGATTGAGTCCTGGGCTCCGAGGAGCTGCCAGAAAAGTGCGAGAGGACAGGAGCTCCGGGTTCCCAAGCCATAGGTATTCCTGAGTCCTGATGACACCAAGCCTTATGGAAGGCCTCATTCTTTCTTCCTCCCGCCTACTTTTAGTCCCCTCCACCCGCCACCCTTCCAGGGTCCCCGCACCTCCTCACTGCGCTGCTCCCTTGCCCTCAACAAGCTGCGTGGCCCCTCCGCAGCATCTCAGCTTCTCGGGAGGTGAATGTAGCAATCAAACGCACTAAGGTAGGAACACCTGCAACACCCAGAACTAACAAAGGACGGACGTGTACCCTAGCTAGTCGCGGGGTGTTCGAGCAGCGCGGGGGCCGGGCCCCCCAATCCCTCCGCGTTGAGATCTAGGAGGGGCGGGGCCTGGGGCGGCTCGGGTCCTTTTGTCTGCAGCCCCGCCCCGCCCCGCCCCCACGCGGGCCCGCGGCGCGCGGCAGACACGAGCGGCTGACACGAGCGGCCGCCGCTGGCGGAGGCTGCGCGCCGCAGACCCGGGCGGTGCGAGCGCGATGGCGGCGGCGGCGCGGGGCTCGGGCTAGCTGCGGGCGGCGCGGATGGCGGGCGGCGCGGGCTGGGCGGGCGCCCCCGCGGCTCTGCTGCGCTCCGTGCGCCGCCTGCGCGAAGTCTTCGAGGTGTGCGGCCGCGACCCCGACGGCTTTCTACGCGTGGAGCGCGTCGCGGCGCTCGGCCTGCGCTTCGGCCAAGGCGAGGAGGTAAGGAGCTCGTGCGCGCGTCCCCATGCTGGGGGAACCGCAGGGACCCCGTGCTGTCACACCCCGGGCCTGTGCGTCACATGGCACGCTCGCGGTGACCGGCCTGTGCACCTGCCCTTCCCTCCGGGCCATCCCCAATGAGAGGAGCTCTTAAATCCAGCCTCTGGATACCCCTTCCCACACAAATCAAGTCGCAGGGGTATGTGTGCACCGCAGCAGGCCTAGGGGTGACAGGGACAAGCAAGGGTGATCTGCAGCCTCTGGTCCTTAGCCGCACCTACCCAACCTAGAACAGAAGGCGATATCTGCTTGGGGCCACCCTGGATTCTGGCCCAGTTCCTAGTGACCTCCTACTCAAGCTACATGGGCAGGCCCGACTGGCAGCGGGCTGTGCTGCCTGCAGTGGGCCAGCCAGGACCAAGCTGGGGAGTGGTTAGCTGAGCCTCTGGTGTTGGTGTAAGGTCGCATGGTGGCACAGAGCAGAACTGTGGGCGCCGTTAGTCTGGAATGGCAGGATCTGAACTGCCAGTGTGTGATGAATAACTGCCCATTGGGCTAGTGTCCTCTTACCATCTGCATGGGGGCTAGTGTCCGTGACTGAGGGGAGGACAGGGCACTGTGTTCATGCAGCCCCGCCATGGTCAGCATCTCCTGGATTCAGAAGCCCCTGCTGAGCTGTGGGTTTCCAAGGCCATCTGAGACCTCAGGCCCTATGTGGGGAGCTTGGGACCTTGGTCTCCAAATGGTACTAGGTGGCTCTGTTCTCAGGACAGGTCAGAATGGCATTTTAGAGCATGGGAGGCGCTGGGCTGGTGCCTTCTTGTCATCTGACAAGTGTAAGGTAATAACAAACCCTTTCTAGGTAGCTGGGCACTGGCTAGAACCTGGGAATCCCCAAGAGCAGAAGGTGGAGGAGAGAGGCAGGTGTGGGTCCCCCATCCCAGGAAGCTTACTGCTGTTGTTCCCTCTTGAAGCCCATTCTCTACCCTTCCCTGCTTTCCTCGGGGACATTTGCCGCGGCTACCTCCGCTTTTCTTGTACAGAGGTTAGCAGAATCTCTCTTCTTGGCCATCATCTCCCACCGGAACAGGCTGAGCTTCCCCTAACACAGGAGGCTGCAGACTGTGCAGTCCCTAGCGCAGGAGACCACAGGGTGTGTAGCCCCTTGCACAGGAGGCCACAGGCTGAGCATCCCTTAACGCGGGAGGCCATGTGCTGAGCAACCAGAGGAGGCTGCAAACTGTGCAGTCCCTAGCACAGGAGGCTTCAGGTTGCTGGTGTGGAACCTCCTCCTTGCTTTGGCTGGAATCTGGAATTCCAGAATCAGAGACCCTCAGATATAGGAATGGCCTCACTGCAATCTCTGGCAGTCGGCCAAAGCCCTGTAACCGCATCCCCAGGCTGGACAGACCCCTCCTGTCCTTAGATCCTCCTCCCTCTATACTTCAGAAAGAAACCTTCTTGTCATTTACTCATCGTGTTTCTGCATGGGGACTCACCTGGGTTTCCCTTCTGCACTGTAACCTTTAACTGTCTGCCCTGTGCCTTCTTACACTGAAGCCATTTCCAGCCCATGCAGCGGAGGCCAGGTTTCCGCCGATGTCACTGATGCGTTGTCTGACTGTTTTCCTACACTGGCAGGGCTAGACCTGGTCAGTCCACACTCCGGGGAGGGGCTGCCTTCTCGGTGTTTCTGCACACTCTACTCACCAGGTTTCTTGCTACTAAAACCTCAGGGATCTGTTTGAAAACTTCAGCCTAGGCAGAGCTCCTCCACCCTGGGGCTGGCCAGTGATTCCCTTTCTTACTAAGCTATGTGGACAGTCGGAAATAGATCGGTTATAGTCCTGTCCCCAGGGAGGTGACACTCTGGTTGCCTCCTTCACGAGCTACTCCTGTGCTTAGATGTAGCTTTCTCCATGAAATGAGGTCATACTGCACCATGTATTCTAACCTAGCCCCTCCCTCAAGTGATCCTCACATAAACTATCATATTTATTGTGCAGACCCTCTCCACGTTTCTCTATTTATCCCCCAAATGTCCACTTCTGACTTTTTTTTTTAAAGCTCACTCTCTCTCCAGGACTGTGTAGTGCACCTGATCCACGTGACTCTGGCCCAGTCCCCTCCTGGGTCCAGACTTTAAAAGCGTCAGGCCTATTGTCTCTCATTAGTTCCTTAAATCTAAGCCTGTGGCTCTTCCCTCTTTCCTGCTCAGCTTCATCTTGCTTGCTCCTAAGCTCCTCCATCCTCATTGCTGCTAGAGGCAGCTCTAGCTGTCTGTGAGGGAATCCTCCCGCAAGGGGCAAGGGAGAATGCGGGGACGCAGGGCAGGACCACGGACAGGGCCTAGGCTCCCCGGGGGCTGTTCTGCGGTTCTGCTATCTCCAGACGGAGGACCGTGGAAAACACACTGTTTACCACACATCAAATTCTCAAATACACCGAAGCACTGCTCCTCATAGACAGGGTTCCTTCCAAAGTGCTGTGGGCTCAGACTGTTTCAATCGTGTTTGCTTACACATCTGCCTGTGACATTGATTCCCAACCCATTGGTGCGCGAGAGACAATGATTGATCATTTGTTAGACATGAGGGTCACTGTCTACATTTTACTAACTGCGCTGGCTACCAGGGAGATCGGGATCAAACACAGCAGGTTTGAGAGTATGAAACAAATGCCCATGAGAGCATCCGTAAGTAGATGAATTAATAATGCAGAAGTCCCCCATACAGGAGAACGGGAGGAGCTGATGTCCTCAGTGCTTTGCTGTCATGTATGAACCCTGGATTTGATTCTCAGAGCTACATTCAAAAACAAAACAAAAAACAAAAGAGTGGATATGGCTGCATAAGATTGGACCAGTCAAAATCCTGCCATGGGGTGCGGGGGAACTCCCAAGGCCCCAGCCCTCCATAAACGTTTATAGGCAGTTAATAGTACCTATGGGGGAGGGCTCATGAGGACGCTCTCTCTCTCTCTCTCTCTCTCTCTCTCGCTCGCTCGCTCGCTCGCTCTCGCTCTCGCTCTAAAGATCTGTAGACAGTTGATGGCTGCTGGGGGATGAGGAGCCGTTCTCTTTAAAGATGTAGCCACTGGTAAGGAGGCCTCTCACCCGTGTTCCTGTAAGCAACCCTGGTGGAATTCATTGTATAACCAAGACGAGAAACAGGGGTGGGGAGGACATGCAGGGGAAAGGTGGATCGCTGGGAAGAGGATGGTTAGTGGGAGGAGGGCAAGAGGTTCGTGGGGGATGAAGTGATGGAAATACATCCCATACCTGTACCAGAATATCATAACCAATCTCATCATGATGTATATATATATCAGTACAGGTTAATAGAACAAAGATATAGAGGCAGACATGGCATCACACACCTGTAACCCTAGCACTTGGGAGGCAGAGGCAGGAGGATCAGACATTCAAGGTTTGGGCTGGGAAGTTGGCTCAGCAGGTACAAGCTTGCTACAGAAGCCTGGTGGCCTGAGTTCAGTCCCCCGGATCCCACGGTGGAAGGAAAGACATGTGATTCCTGAAAGTTGTCCTCTGAGTGCCACGTGTGTGTCCACACACACATCACAAGAAAGAGAAACTCAAGGCCATCCTTGGTTACATAGGCAATTTGTGGCCAGCCCGGGATAAATTAGAGACCCTGTCTCCAAAGGGGAGAAAGCGCTCGCTCTGGCAGCACATATACTAAAGTTGGAACGATCCAAAGATTAGCATGGCCCCTGTGCAAGGATGGCACGCAAATTCATGAAGTGTTCCATATTTAAAGTAAATAAACAAACATATAATTTGTGTGCGATAATTCCTCATCGCGGAGGGGAAGCTTGACTCCCCACCCTGGGTATGAGCTATGCCTTGACTTCCTAGGAATCCGGCAGGATAAGAGGGGAAAGGGCAACTTGATAGGGAGAAACCTGGCAAATACCACCCCAGAAGGTCACCAAGGTCAATGCCAACCCTCACTGTGAAGGGACAAGAGAACTCCACTCAGCTCACAACTGTGGTGGTGTGATCGTTCTAAGAGAAACAGCAGACAACCCCCCACCCCAACACCACCTGAGGACATTCCACCAGGCTCTCACCAGAGCTCCTTAACATGGCCAAGGGGAGTGAAGGGTGTCTAATTGTGTCATCCTGCATGAGTCCTGGACAAGAAGAGGACACTAGTTAGACAGTCAGGAAGTCTGAAGTATGGGCTTCATTGATCATGTCGTGTGTCGACCAGATGGGCCTCCTGTGGTCCCCTGATTTGATAACCTGAGATCTTGGTGCCACCCTGAGGTCTCTGTCAATGATACGATTGTTCCCAGGACACAGGCTGTAGATCAGGAGGAAGCACTCAGCCTTCCTGCCCCTGTCTCGCTTGCTGGGATCTCTGCAGGGTGTGTGAAGCTGCAATGAAGAAGAATTTGATTTTCCAGACTTCCAAAGCAGCAAGAGGTACCCTCGGAGGGTGTAGTGGGTAGGGGAGCAGGCTTCCATGCGGTCCCCTGGATCTCTGGCCTGTGGGATGGAACTTTACCACATACTGCAGGGGTGCAGAGCGGCCTTCAGGCCCAGCCCAGCCCAGCGATTAGGCCCAGGAGCTCTCCCCAGCACAGAAGCAGAGGAGGAGAAAGGAGATGGGGCTGTGGAAAGAGACGGAAAGAGGGGTCTTCGCCTGGGGACGCAGCACTGAAATCCAGCTGGGCCAGGTTAGTCCATGGCCTGCCCAGGTCGGATGGCTCCACAGGAACACCCCAGCTGTCTCTTCTGTCTTCTACCCATTCATCGTTTCCTGTACCTGCGTGTCTGCTTTGCGGGTTCGTCCACCCACCTAGCCACCTGCCAGCAATTCCTCCATTCCTTGTTCATTGTGTGCTCACCCGCTGTCTCAGGCAGGGTTTCTGTTGCTCTGATGAAACACCACGACCAAAGCGTCTTGGGGAGGAAAGGGATTACTGGGCTTACACTTCCTTATCATTGTTCATCACTGAAGAAGTCCAGACAGGAACTCAAACAGGGCAGGAACCTGGAGGCAGGAGCTGGTGCAGAGCCTGTGGAGGGGTGCTGCTAACTGACTTGCTCTCCATGGCTTGCTCAGCCTTTCTTCTTATAAAACCCAGGACCACCAGTCCAGGGATGGCACCATCCACAATGGACGGGGCCCTCACCCATCAATCATTAATTAAGAAAATGCCTTACACGTTTCTGTAAAGCCTGATCTTTACATTGTATTTTCTTATTCAAAAAGTTTTATTTTATGTGCATTGGTGTTCTAATGTGTGTCTATGTGAGGGTGTCAGATCCCCTGAAACTGGAGTTACAGACAGTTGTGAGCTACCATGTGAGTGTTGGGACTTGAACTCCGGGTCCTCTGAAAGAACAGTCAGTGGCTCCTAACTGCTGAGCCATCTCTCCAGCCTGGAGACGTTTTCCTAACTGAGATTCCTTCCTCTCAGATGGCTTTAGCTATGTTAAGTTGAGATGAAACTGTCCGGCCACCCACCCTTCTCTAGCCATCTGCCTGTCCATTCATTCCCGCCCCCCCCCCCCGAACTCCAATCCAGTCTTTCCTGTTGGAGTACATCAGGACAAGTACAGACTCGGGGCGGGACTGGCATTTCCATGGGGTGCCGAGTGGTTGGTTGTGTGTAGGAAAGTCACAGGAAGGGTAAGGAGAGTGAGAACTCAGGGGCAGATGGTGACCAGAGGGACAAAACAGGACTGCCTGGTTCTTATGTTAGAAGGACCGCAACATCCCAGCACATGCTATCCTGGCCAGCATGAACTATTTTTGTAATTTCTCACGTCTACAGGCTGTTAGTGGTGGTAGGACTGGAGTTGTCCTGACAGGAGCTGCAGCCTGGATTAAAGAATCCAGGTTAAAAGAATCCTGGATTAAAGAATCCAACGGTGCTTGTTAGGGTAGTCAGACCCATCTGCCTTTCTGTAAAGTAGAGTTCACGGAGCTGAAGAGATGGCCTAGTGATCGCTGCTCTTGCAGAAGACTTGGTTTGGTTCCCAGGACTCCATGGAAGCTCACAGCCAGCTGTCATTCCAGTTCCTGGGGATCCAGCGCCCTCTTCTGGCCTTCCTGAGCACTAAACATCCGCTAGCCACGCAGGCAAACATTCATACGTGTAAAATTCTTTTGTTGCTTTTCATGTGTATAGGTGTTTTGCCTGTGTTCATATCTGTGTACCACGTATGTGCCTGGTGCCCAAGAAGGGCAGAAGAGGGTATGAGATTCCTGGAACTGGAGTTATAGATGGTTATGAGCTGCCATGTGGGGCAGGGAATTGAACTCAGGTCCTTTGGAAGAGCAACCAGTGCTTGTAACTGCTGAGCCATCTCTCCAGCCCAGATTTTTGTTTGTTTGAGACAAGGATTCTCTCTGAAACCCTGGCGGTCCTGGAACTCATTCTGTAGACTAGGCTAGCCTCAGATGCAGAGATCTACCTGCCTCTGTCTCCTGAATGCTGGAATTAAAGGAGTATGCCACACCACCCAGCTTAAAATTTTTAAATCATCTTTCAGAAAGGATTCATAAACTGGAGGTCAAGGCCATTCTTTGAGGGGTTGTTTGGAAGGCTAGAGATAAGAAGCACACATTCAACCTACTGTAGACTTACTGCACTCTTGTGTGAGTACCCTGGACTACCCGGGTGTCTATGCTGCCCTGGGTCCCAGGATGCCCCCATCCCTTTCTTTCTTTCTTAATTAATTATTTTTTTTAAAATTTTATCTGCATTGGTATTTTGTCTGCACGTATGTCTGTGTGAGGGTGTCAGATCTTGGAGTTACAGACAGTTGTTAGCTGCCATGTGGGCGCTGGAATTGAACCGGGGTCCTCTAGAAAAGCAGACAGTGCTCCTAACTGCTGAGCTATCTCTCCGCTTCTCCTGTCCCTTTCTGCATGGTACTTTCTACTGCAGGCTCCCTTGCGCAAGAGCAGAGTTCTTCCAGCCTCCACTGGTCCACATAAGGACCAGACACATTCATCCTTCAGCAGTCAGAAGATCTGGGAGCTAAAGTGACTTGGGCAGGACCCACGGTAAACACAGGTCCTTCTGGTTCCAAAGCTGCCTTCTTAGTGGTGCAAGAGCCGGTGTCGTAGGCTCTTGGAGGTGGGGGGTGGGAGAAACCGCAGCAGAGGGTTCATCGGCTTTCTGAGGCTAGAGTGGCCGGGTAGGAGGCAGGACTGAGTGGAAATAGCGTGGGATTTGTGACCCCTTTTGGAGTGAGTGCCGCAGTCAAAAGGGAAGACAAGAGGCTAGCCTAGGGGCCCACAGGATTTGAGGCTTGGGGTTGGGGAGGCTGCCAGTAGCCACACCCTGTTCTGTTTCCGACCGTGGTTAAGCAGGCCAGAGGTTTTCTCAAGGTTCTCAGCACTCTGCCTTCCCACGAGCTCACTCCTCAGTAGGCAGCCTGTTCCGTGTATCCCACCTGCATCTTAGCGCTAGCCAATTGGCTCTGCCTTGGGCTGGGGAGGCCGCTGGCTGCAGGCATCTCCCCGACTGTGGTACTCCAAGAAGTTACTCTGCGTGTCTGCCCCCTTGTGCAGTGGGACTGCTGGCCACAATGCTTGCCGGGTCCTTACCACTGTGCTGGCACACGGTGAAAGCGCAAGTGATTGAGGGGCAGGGTGTCCATTTCCCTTCCCACATGTCGTTTCTAGAGCCTCCTCCGTGTCACACTGGTGCCTACAGGATCCACAGATGAACAGGACATTCCTGACCTTAGAGAGCTCCCTAACGGGGCAGGAAGGCTAGGGGAGAAACCTGGGTGGGTTTTTTGTTTGTTTGTTTTTGGGGGGGTGAGTTGGTGGCTTTTTTAACTTTTGTGTGTGAGTGTGATTTTTATTGACAGTTTGTACTTGGAAATGTTGATGGAGAACAGTGTGACGCTTCTGTACATACATGTATTGTGGAATATGCAAATCAAGCCATTAACCTACTTCCTCCCGTTCTCGGCATTTCGATTTGGTGAGAACATTGAAAACCCGCTCTTGGCGTATGAAATTAGTGCAGCCACCTGGCAGGCAGTAGATGGTCAGGGCCTAGTCCTCCCGTCTATCCAGACCATTTTCTGACCCCTCCACCCAGTAATCCCTTTTGCTGGCATAAGCCCATGAGCTGGGTCCTGGCATGGTGGAGTCCCAGGGCTCAGCCCTCCCGAGATGACACCCTCCAGAGGATGGAAGGAAGGTGGGGGATACTAGGACCTATGTCTGTTCCCACTGGCTGAGCCTCCTTTGGCCCTGCTCGCTGTCCCAGGGATTGGACTGTGGTGTGGGTGTCTCGGAGCCCCTGACCCCAGCTGCACACTGTCAGCCATTCCCCTCCTCCACCATCAGGATTGAACCCAGGGCCTTCAGCGTGCCAGGCAAAAGCAGTGACATTGACCTATACCCTCAGTCCTAAATTTTCATTTTTAACTGCTGCTGTGGCTGTTGTTACTGTGTGTGTGTGTGTGTGTGTACATGCCCGCGTGTGCATTCGTGCACTGCTGAGAACTTGGTCTACTACTGAGCTGTCCCCACCCTGTCTTTGGAGGTTTGCCCCTCACCCCTCTCCTACCCCAAGCTCATGGATTCTTCCCTTTCTGACAGGCTGTAATCCAGGTCACTGTTCTTGATGCTCAAGGGTTTCCTTTGCTTTGTTTTAGTGTAGAATCATAACATTTTGATATTTTTATTTGATATAATCTTTTCTAATTTATGGTGCTAAGGCTGGAACCCATGGCATTTACCACAGACCCAAATCCTAGCCCATCCCTGCCTTGC